CCAGTCTCGCCGCGACGCGAAGCGTACGAAGCGGTAACACTTTTTTTCACCGACCGGTGCGTCTGATCGGATCCTTTGGGGTGAATTGTCCGAAGGTCCTTCTGGTTTGTCCGAAAGCAGGTCATTTCCCGCAGTTCCATGGAGGAGCTATCGGAGGTTTTTGGGGCGCCCTTACATCGGATGAGACGAGCCACACCACCCTGGCCTCCATGTAACTCCGTCAAGGTCTTTGTTGGTCAATCGAAATCGTAAAAGCAGCTTTGGTAGCTTTGCATGTTTTGCGGCATGACTTGCGTGTCTTATCAGGGTTGACCAAGGAAAAGGCGGTGTCACAACTGGCACCGACGCCGAAGGCTTTGTGTGTGCGATTCATCGCGTTGGCTACGTCGCTGCGGTGCAACGGGCAGGTCCATGGCGTATGTGGGGCGGCCGTCCGTGGTGTCCCACGTCTGTAGACTGCAATAACTCGGAGCTGCGCACACTAGTAGCGTCCTTGCTACTAGTAGCGATGCCAGGAGCCCCGTTCGTAGCTTCTTGTTACGTTCGTAGCTACTTGCTCCTAGTAGTACGGCCAGGAGCCCCGTTCGTAGCGTCCTTGCTATACTAGTACCCTTGGCCTCCAACAAAATAGCGATGCCTCCACCTAGTAGCTGTTTGTTGATAGTATTTCCACTTCCACCCCCCAAGCAAGCCTGAATAAGAGGTTTTAGAATCCGTGTTTGGGTGGTTCTATTTATCCAGCGTCTACATGATCGATGGCTGAGATTCTGGTCACAGAAAGCCCTGCCGATGCAATCGAATGATTTCTTTTGTTCCCTGTGCATCCTGGGCAACACTTCGGCAACACGTGGCATGCCGCGTCACTGTGCTCAAAATGACTTTTGAATGTGCACATTCGGCACATCTTTCCTATAGCAACATGCACTGGTTCCGAAAAGTTGGGCCCGATTTCGAGGCAGCCCGATATCGTGCCTGAAGCAGACCAGCAAGTAAGGGGGAGAAGATAGAGTCAGGAAAGCGTGAGTCAGGAAACCTGAATCTGAATGACAAAGTCAGGAAACCTCAACGAGTAAGGTCAGTCTGTAGACCCTTGGATGCACAAGACATTCCTCTTTTGAAAGAACTAGGAGCAAGAACCCTACTAGGGGCTCTTGGCCTGACTACTAGGAGCATCCTTACTACTAGTAACAAGAAGCTACTAGGGACTCCTGGCCTTACTACTAGGAACAAGGACGCTACTAGGAACACGGGCATCGCTACGAACGGAGAATCCGTACTACTCTTTTGAAAGAACACGAACGAGTCGCTTCCTAGGAGCAAGGACGCTACTAGAGGCTCCTGGCATCGCTACGAACGGAGCGATCGAACGAGTCGCTTCCTGGGCTCGCTCCTTTTGGCTCAAAGTTTTGACGAAAGACGACGAACCAACGAAAGAACAGGGCCCTTCAAGTGTGAAAGGCGGACACCATCAGACCGTCTCCCAAACAGACTGGCTCTTATGTCAGACAGTGTCGCTTCTTGTTTGGACAGGGGAACCAAGGTCCTTCAAGGCATCAAAAATGGGTCTTAACAGCCTGAGAGTTCATAGAGATGCCACTGGTCCACTTGCCCTCATGTGGAAACGGAGCCTGGCCATCTCCGATATCCAACCCCTCTATCCGCTCCGAAAACTTCTTCGATCGCTCAGGCGATCGACAGGTCTCCTTGGGTGCATCGGTGCCCCTTCGCTTCGCACTCATGCCGCGCATGCCTGAGCCCTTGAACGGCCCCTTGCGCCTTTGTGGAGTCTTATCCAGTCACGTGGGCGATGAGCCACTCGGATGGACTGAACCAGTGAACCAGTGAATTGAATGTTGGTCTTTTTGGGGGAGAGACATCACTTGGGTCGAAGTTCGTTCGCCTCAACATCTCGGGCTCCGCACCTCTCAGAGCGAGGGGAAGAATACCCAAGCATCGTAAGAGTTTTGGGCCTAAAAGCCAAAGCCGTCGGGACATGGCCATCTCTGGACAGACCTCTTTGGCACCAAACTGGTCCCCGCTGTAACGGAGGACACATGCTGCCAGAGAATTCAGCACGTGGATACCGGGGAGGTAGGAAATCGAAACAAGAGAGTGGCGAAACGCCGGTACCAGATTGCAAGCCGTGCAGTTGCACCAAACACGACGTTGCATGAATGGAGGGATCAAACATCAACGACTCTATTAGCCAAAAAGAGAAGCATGCAAAAGCCGGGCGAGAACGGATCTTTGCCATTGCTGGCACGTGTTTTCCCAGTAATTGGGTCGCGAAAACGCCGCATCGTTTCGGCCGAGAGGAAGCGGCTGAAGCGTTTGGAGCATTGCTTCGACTCCATCGCCCAGCAGACCCAAGCGCTGGCGGGCTTCTTCGTTGTGTCTTCGCATAGGATTTGCCTTGAGCTGGTTCGATGAAGAGCGTGTAGCGAAGGAGGGAAAGGCTCCAGCCCGAAACTTTCCCTACTTTCATCACAACTCGTTTGCTTCTGGGGGCGAATTGTTTATTATATAGTTCATCGGCCGAAAGTTTGCACAGCGAGTCGAGGAAAGCTCGAGACTCGATTCGGGGCAGGTGTTGTGGTTTGCCCCAGAAGGGGTTTCACGCTGTCAACCCAAAAGCAATGAATTTGATGAAGAATTTCAATCTTCAAACCAGCATCCACTGGTTCTTTAGCAAGGCATGAAAGCTACTAGCTACCTTGTAGAATTATAAATATTATGCTCACAATCTATATTTCTTTGAGTGGATCCAAGAGTTGGCCTCGCAATGTTGAAGGTCACTGGACATCCTGACAAAAAGCTGATGCTACTGAGTTTTCACTCACCTGGACAACACTTGTGAATGCCAAAGAATGAGTTTGGAAGTATTGAAAACACACACAATACGGAAAAAATAAGGGATGGTAAGGGCTCCTTTGATCAGGCCTCCTTAGAAGGACTCTATTGCAAAAAGAGACCTTATCGTCTTTTCGTGCTCCCTTGTTTTCAATGAAATTTTATGAAATGTGTTCTTTTTGAAGAGTTCTTCCACTGCAGCGGTACGCAGTAGATTTCGTGATCCAAGAACACGACTCAACCTCACCTACCACTCTGGGGCAAACGCGCCCTGGGCTCCCCACCAACGCCGTTCTTTTGAAAGCTGATCTTGCTCCTAGCAGCGATGCCCTTTGTCCGTAGTAGCGTCCTTGCTCCTAGTAGTAGGGCCAGGAGCCCCGTTCGTAGCTTCCTTGCTCCGTTCGTAGCATGAAGCTTCAGCCGCTCTTTCGCTGCTCGACCCGTCGCCGTGAAGAGACGAAGCGAGGTCTGGTCGTCGCCGGAGTCCTTGGCTCCCAAGGTGGAAGCGTTGTTGGCCTCCCTCCAGGTGACGAAAAAACGACAAAGACCGGAAGACACATGTGGCATGATGTGTCTGTGAGTCACAGTCACACCTTCATTCCCCACCGGTCCCCATGGGCTCGGTTGACACCCCAAACAAATCCATCCACCAGTCACGCGCTTTTGGCGGGGCAACACTTTTTTGGGAGGTTCTTGGAAGTTTTGAAAGGATATATTGTAGTCTATGATATTCCGATATTCTCTTCAAAGGCCACTTGCGAAAGAGACTTGGCATCCGGAGGCCTTGTACACTTCCGCATGGGGCAAGTGCACCAGATGCGAAATACCAGGAATTATATACAAGGAAATACTTGTAAAATGGAAGGTCAGTGGTTTACAAATTGACCTTCCATGAAACATGGTATGCAAGGTAAACTATATAAAAATACCGGTAAAACGATGTAAGACGTGAGACCACCTCGTGGTTCTCAAGGAATCCGTTACGTACCGATGGAGGACATCAGAGGACATCGGACCTTCACTGCTTGAGGAGCATGTCCACGTGAAGACGTTGCGGCAAGACCGGCGAACCTCTCAGTTCTACGACATCCGATGGCTCTATCAGGATGGGAACGCACCGGGAGAGCAAGGCATGAAGTGCATGAAGGATGGGGGTGCTTCCACCTACAAATAGATTAGGTTGATTAGACAAGTTGTTTTGCAATAGAGAAAAGCAAAAACGATGTCACGCAGCTGGTTGCGTGATACATCGCGACCTCGATCAGATGTTTGTTCCAAGATTCTAATTCTATTGTCGCTGGGAAAATTGAGGTGTGATCCAAACCTGAATCCGTGACGGAGGGCCCTTCCTTCACCCCTCATGCCACTTCTAAACAAGTCGCAGAAAAAAAGAAGAGAGGACCCCAAAAAGAAACGTCTCATTTGGCCGTCGCCAGCACTGCACACGTGTGGCACACATCGTGAGGAGTACATCTCCAAGGAGCCGCCCAACACGTGGCTCCTCTTCTCCGACGACGACGACCTCTGGGGCCCCGAGCGGGTGCGCCTCTATGGCGCGGTCGTCGACCGACACGGGCGGCAGCCGGGCGTGACGGGCGTGCCTCGGGAAAGCACTGAAGCGCCGCGAAGGAAGACGCCGGGCGTGACCCAGTCACTCGAGGTAGTCGGTTGGGTGTGCCCAGAATGTCACTTCCACGCGCTCCAACTCCATGGGACGAGCCTGTCACCACCCAGGCCCTCCATGTGACTCCTGGACCTTGCCATTGAGGACCAGACAATCCAAGCAAGAAGTTCCGAAACAAACATACGTGCAATATCTTGGCAAGGTCAAAATCTGTTCGCAGAGCTTCAGGGGTTCTGACGCTTTCACATGTTCCCATGTGTTCTTCCAGCTTTTCCACAGGCCTCACCATGTTTTGCACTCACTATCTAGAGAACAAGTCCAAGACTCTCCTCGAACTCTTCTCCCTTCCCATATATGATCTTCCAGTATTCGGGTGATTGATCGAATTCTCTTAGAAAACAAAAACAAGCAAAACAATGGCTGTTCATGCCTTTCTTCGGGAAAAAGAGACAGACGTTCCTTCGTTCGTTCGTTCTCTTTGTTCCAACGCGGTTCCGCGGTTCCGCGGGTCGATCGAGCGGCGTCGAGCGGCGCCCAGGTCTGTGCCACCCACAAGGTCCGTCCCAAGCATCGGACGGACGTGGCCACGAGCGCGTCGATGGTCGAGCAGCAACTGGCCAAAGGTGCCGCCATGCACTGTGGTGGGGTGCATCAAGAGGAGGAGCCCGTTCACCCTGCGCCCCGTTCCTTTCGCTTCTTCCGGAGATTGGGAGAAGGTCGCAGGGTGGGTGGATTTGGGGGGGATGTTTCGTTGAGGGAAGCGGGCGTTGAAGCGCCTAGTCGTGTTCTTGGGTTTTGTTAGCACCAAACGACAAACACCTCCCTCAACACAGACGGGTCCACATGGGGCAACCCTAATGAGGACGGGTCCTTCGATGGGTTTTCTGGCCCAACAGAACGGAGGATCCCGTTTCGAGGTGGAAACTCGAGGAAACACCACGCCCAAATGGGCCCTTGGGTGTGCTTCTTTCACCAGGACCGGACTCCAAAAAAGGGGTCTCCTGGTTCTCCGGTGCCCGAAAGTGGCCGGTCTCGAGGATGCTGGTGGAGGCGTGAATGGTCTGGAGACCCGGTCGAAGGCGACGCGCCAGGAGTTCTTCGACTTTGCCTGTCCGACGGGAAGCCTGGGCGCGTTCCTGGAGATCTGCAACGACGAAACCCTGCTACATCCCTTCTGTGATCTTCGCTTCACGCGGTTCTTACAGGAATACTACGAGGGAGGAAAGGTGATGCCACTGGGACCCGAGGTTGTGGAAGGAAACACCGAGGTTGCCTTTTCGGAGGTGTGTGGAAGGAAAAGGGAGACATATAGACTTAGACATTGAATCATTGAAGAACCAGCAAGACGGAAAGGATTTATAGATACCCGAAATGGATGGTGCTGGAATCAATCAGATTTCTTGAAAACCTCAGGTGCTGCAGGATGGGCTTTCTATCAACTTACTCCTGTATCCATGTGAGGCGATCCACTCAGCATGTTTTTTTCCTGAAATCTGTGCTTTATGGTCTCCCAATAGGTGACATGATTTCCTGGGATTCACTAAAAATGGAAATCCATCCAAGTGGGGAGTCATCCATGGCGGCTTCAAAATGCTTGGAGCACCTTCGGATTTCAGCATTTAACACGGAAAAAGTGGCGTCTCCAGATGTGCCCGGTGCTCGGCGTGAAGGTGGGTGTTGGGTCGAAGCGATGCGATGCTTCAGCCTCACACGACGCCAGGTATTTTCCCACGGACCAGACCAATCCTTGGGTCTACTACTACTCCACGGCCTATCGCTCGCCGGAGGATGCTGCCACCTATGAGCAGTTTGTCAAGCAAGACCAAGCCAGTCGCCTGGACGCAGGCGGAATCGCTTGGACCTCTGGTTTTCAAAGTCTCCTGCGACGCAAATCCGGTCGAACTAATCCCTAGGTCGAATGAGGGACTGGACAGCTTGGCTCCCAACTGGTGAAGGTTTTAGTCTTACACATGGCAAGTCTAGGTGTCTTCCAGCCCGCTGTCCCTGAAAATGGCATTCCAGGTCTCGCATGAACCATTTCCTTCGCCCCCCCTTCTTTGACTTGATTTCACACGTAGCTCGTGCACCTAACCTCCAGATGTCCCCACCTTGGCCTCGGCTCGGCGGCACGGCTGGCCTCGGCTCCCGTTCCTCGGTTCCGCCGTTCGGCGGGTCGACTCGACGTCACCGGCGGGGGTTCCGCCGAGTCGGCGGCAAGCCGAGTCGGTGCCCAGGTACAGTGGTGAGGAGTCGAAAGGAAGATCGAATGCGAGCAGAAGTACCTCGATGATGGGAATCCACGTCGCCTTCCTTTTTGACACACCATGAAAGTGGAAGAAAAGGAAAAAGAACACTAGAAAGGGACGACGGAAAAGTGGGAAGGGGAATGAAAGGGACACCCATGGGTAACATCTCAGTCACATCGGAGCCCTACTTAGGAGAAAGAAATCTCCCCACAGCCATGTGGCCATGGACCACTCAACAAAGTGGGACCTTGTCTCCCATCCTGGACCAGGGATGGCGGCTGTGTGGATCGATCACTACTATACAGCTCCGTGCCCTTTTGGTTGGATCCGGCATAGACCCCAGATCCTCTTGAGAAGTAAGAACCCCCTATATAGTAAGTCCCCAAATCGATGACCGGATTGCACGAGTATTCGAATACATTCTCTACGTGGGATCGATTTGGGGGTCTATAATCTATAGCTTTCAGCTATATCGGAAAAAGATTGATCAAAGTCTGTGACTCTTTGTCTGTGAGGCCTAGGCAGGTCAAGCGGAAGATGAGGTGTTCAACACCCAGATATCCTTTTCAAACAAGCATGTTGTATGAAAGTAGACTCAGATGCAGAATCAACACAAATTTGATTGTGTGAAAGGTGCAAGGTGGAATGGTGTTAACCTATGGAACCGGTCGAACTGTGGTGCTTTCATGTTGGGCGGTCGTCCCTGTGTGCTCCCAGGAACTCTGCAAAAAAATGGGCGGAGCTTACTGGGGTAAGGCCGAGAGGGGTCCTGATAAAGAGGAGTTGGACGCAGCTGGGCTGAGAGGAACGAAACACTGTGAGTCATCTGATGGGTTTGTTGGCAATTGTTCCTAGTAGTAATGCCCTTGTTACTAGTAGCTTCTTGCTACTACTAGTAAGGCACCTGTTACTACTAGCGTGGCACTTGTTACTACTAGCCATGTAGCCATCCGGTTTGTGACCCAGTCAGTGCAAAAATTGCCAGGGTGACTCGAATTGCCAGAATGGCTTGTCCAATGAAACTGGGTGGGTCGGGTCCTCTCGGGAAAATCGGGATAGCTGCTATTGGTGTACTTCAGCTGGTGGATTGTGAGGACGTGTCCAGGTCGTTACTCCTCCAAAAAAGTCGTCGAGCACTGCGGGATGGCGTCTAGCACCTCTCCAGGATGCGCGAGAGATTCAAGACGTAGAGATTCAAGCTGGGTATGGCCTTTTGTTCCCTTGAACCCTTCTACAGATCCACATCGCAAATCATCGCAGCCTGTTCTAAGTTCCAGACTTTCATCTATGCTATGAAACAAGGTGTTTTCTCCCTTCCAACCTCCCCCGACCCGAATTTGATCCGCCCGTTTTCCCTCTTGCATGGGTTGTTGGGGACAGGGTGTTTCGTTTGTTGCGTTCATGAGCTAGAAGGTTAAAGTTGTACATAACATGCATCCAGTGCCATGATATTCCTTGGCAAAAAGCCTTTGATAGGTGGTATCATGACGATGTCTTGATGTGAGAGGTTTTTTTTAATGGTACTGGCGCCTTGAAATCTTTCAGCTGTCTTGCCTTTGTACCGTGTAGACCCGTCTCAGACCACCTACTGAATACATCTAAATACATGAGACACTCAAGACCGAAAAGGCCATCCATCACCCCAAACCGGATTTCCAAGCACAAACCACCTGGGAGGTCAACCTGCCATTACCGGTTCTCTTTTTCTTCGAGAAAGCCCTTTGGACGTCCCAAGGAGATGACGGATTTTGTGGCCGCCTTGAGACAGAACATCGAGGCGATTCTCATCCGGCACTTTCCTGAGACGCCACCAGAGCTGCAACAAGTGACCATGAAAGAACGCCAAAAAAAGACAAACAAACAATCTGGTACTTAATGCGCGTAATGTGTGTGTGTGTGAGAGAGAGAGAGAGAAAACCACCTTGCTGTCCCAAAATGTTACCTTTTGGGCGTCGGCACATGCTTCTGACCCGATACGGAGCAAAGTTTGTCTTTTCCGCTGTGGTGAAGCTTTGGTGGCGACTCATGCAACTCAGAGGTCCGCGCTCAAGATCCGTGTTGTCTTTTTCCTTGGCGCACTCAGAGCACTCGGTGGACACTAGTTTCTTCATTCAGACCGGAAATCTCTTTACTAGAGAACCTACTCAAGTTCTTGTGCTTCATGAAATGATGTCAATATGCGGAATGTCCACACATTCTGAAAAAGACCCAAGGAAAGTTGGGGTTCTCATTGGGGCAGCAGCTGTCCACCTTTTCTCAACAGAAGGACCAAATCCTTGGCATCTCCCAAGCCTTCATTTGGCTGTAAAGGTGGAGTCCTCTCCGGTTGTGTTGGGACACCGCCTCAAAAAGGAAACCGCTGGGATTCTTCGCCAATTCGGAAGAAATCACACGAAAACGGCGATGTTGGTCCAGGTCCATGTGACTTGACGACATCTGACGACCCAAAAACCTGTTGTTCTTTGTGAAGCTCTGTGTGGCTCAGCTCAGCTGAGCCCTGAGCATCCCTGGAGCCCCGCTGAGCGCTGAGTGCGATTGTGCTTGGTCCTGGTTCCAAGAACAGCTGAGGCCCATGAAGACGGGGGAAATGAAGCGCATCGCAGTGGGACAGGCCTCAGGTGCGTCGCATCGGGATGAAAGGGAGGTGCCTGGGGCCCAGATTCTTCCAACAACAGACTCCTTGTCACATCATAAGAATCTTTGGGGTTCAAACCACTTTAAAATCTTCGAATCTTTCAGGTTTGTGATGTTGATGGCGATCCTTTAGGACTCTCATCAACGTCGCTGGGTGAAGACCATTCCGGCCAGATCTTCCATTCGATTCGTCACGTCCTCACCCTCGCTGTGTGGCCGGCAGATCGAAAGGAAAGGGAACTCCCTTCCACCGTCCACACCAGCGCTGGTCGCGTTTCGGAGTCGTCCCGGACTGGTGGTTTTCTATGGTTTTTCTTGTCCTCCCTTTGGTTCCGGCCCCATGCCATGCCCCCGGAAACCACCACCACGCGGGTTCACCGAGGGGTCCGCAGCCGCCGGGTCCGAAGCCGCCGGGGCGGCTTTCCTCGGTCGGGGAAGACGAGGCCAGTTTTTCGCCCTGAAGTTGGCGGAAGAGTTGGCCCGGCAAGCGTGCAGCTCCTTCGGCATTCGCCTCGAATAGGGAACCGTGGCCGAAAAAGAGGAGCGATGTCGTGGAACTGGGAGCGATCTCGTGCTCACGGGCGATGGCGTGGGTCGAGTCCGAACTCGGTCGCTCGAACGGATGGCTGGGAAGCAGGCTGTGATGGTTCAGATCCTTTTCGATTTGGAAGATCCCTCGACCAGCCATCGCAAGTTTGTAGAGTTTGTAGTTGTTGGTGTTCTTTTCTGGAGATTAGACTATTGCCGGGTTCCAACCGTGACCAACCCGATGGTCACGAAATGTGCTTACACTCCTGCTCCAGGAGTGGAGTGGCGCCTACTCAAGAAAAGGTGTAGGGGGTGTAGGGGGCGGGCTGAAAAGAAGGTTTTTAAGTAAAATAGAACGATCTATTTCTGCAGATCGCATCCTGCTTCTGATGTAGCTTCCGAATTGTTCAGCACATTAGCACCGACCCCCGTTTTTTCGACTTGTGCACATGTCACATAGGAACGTGTACCAAAGGTGTCGGATAGAAACTCCACAAAGACAGAACACCGAAATGGTTCCCCTAGGTGTTGGGCTAGGATCTGGCACATGGCACATGGCACTGACCAGCAATCCCTAGTGCAGGGGCTCTTTTTTATAGAGTTTTGCATCGTTGCATTGGACAAGCATCGTGGGGTGTTGAAGAGAAGAACAGTTGTAAACGGTGGAGGAAAGAAATGGATAGATCAAGCAGTCGTGGTTCTTTGAACGGTCTTCATGCGCAAGACCTTTTGTGAATACAGCAAGTTTCACCAGGTTCAATAGATGTCCCATCCAATTGCGGGCTGCGTCCTGACAGTCATGCATCCGCACTTGGTGGAAGCCCCTGGCTCAAGCCATCTGCTCACGCCCAAATCCCCAGCACCCTGTCACGCCACGTCCCATGCCGCTTGGTGGGAGATTCCTGGAGCCCCTAGTAGCTTCTTGTTACCTTCTTGTTACTAGTAGCGTCCTTGTTCCTAGTAGTAAGGCCAGGAGCCCCTAGTAGCGAAC